AACATTTCCGTCACACGCTTGAGGTATTCAGTCAATCACAACACACCTCGCTTTTCAGACCGATGAGCTTTGTAAAAATCAACACGTTTCAGAAAGGCAGGGCATAGAGGAGAAACAATAATGTACAGTATGTGGAAAATAATGTTTTTTTTAACCTTAAACCACAAACATTTCATTACACCAAATACACAAAATAATGTTCTTTTTTTAACAACATCATATGACCCCTTTAATGATCACTTTTGCCTTATGGCAAGGTGCTTCAGCATGCTGGAAAAGGCATTGTTCATCACCAAACTGTTCTTGGTTGGGAGAAGTTGCTCTCGGAGGATGTTTTTTTACCATTATTTATTCATGGTTGTGTTCTTAGGCAAAATTGTGAGTGAGCCCACTCCCTTGGCTGAGAAGCAACCCCACACATGAATGGTTTCAGGATGCTTTACTGTTGGCATGACACAGGACTGATGGCAGCACTCACCTTTTCTTCTCTGGACAAGCTTTATTCCGGATGCCCCAAACAATCAGAAAGGGGATTCATCAGATAAAATGACTTTACCCTAGTCCTCAGCAGTCTAGTCCCTGTACCTTTTGGAGAATTTCTGTCTGTCCCTGATTTTTTTCCTGGAGAGAAGCGAGTTCTTTGCTGCCCTTCTTGACACCAGGCCATCCTCCAAAAGTATTGGCCTCACTGTGCGTGCAGATGCAATCAAACCTACCTGCTGATGGCAGCACTCACCTTTTCTTCTCTGGACAAGCTTTATTCCGGATGCCCCAAACAATCAGAAAGGGGATTCATCAGATAAAATGACTTTACCCTAGTCCTCAGCAGTCTAGTCCCTGTACCTTTTGGAGAATTTCTGTCTGTCCCCGATTTTTTTCCTGGAGAGAAGCGAGTTCTTTGCTGCCCTTCTTGACACCGGGCCATCCTCCAAAAGTCTTGGCCTCACTGTGCGTGCAGATGCACTCACACCTACCTGCTGCCATTCCTGAGCAAGCTCTGCACTGCCGGTGCCCCGATCCCGCAGCAGAATCAACTTCTGGCACTTGCTGGACTTTCTTGGGTGCCCTGAAGCCTTCTTAACAGCAATTGAACCTCTCCCCCTTGAAGTTCTTGATGATCCGATGAATGACTGATTTAGGTGCAATCTTACTAGCAGCATTATCCTTGCCTGTGAATCTTTTTTTGTGCAAAGCAATGATAACTGCACACGTTTCCTTGCAGGTAACCATAGTTAACAGAGGAAAAACAATGATTTCAAGCACCACCCTCCCTTTAAAGCTTCCAGTCTGTTATTCTTACTCAATCAGCGTGACGGAGTGATCTCTAGCCTTGTCCTCATCAACACTCTCACCTGAGTTAATGAGAGAATCACTGACATGATGTTAGCTGGTCCTTTTGTGGCAGGGTTGTAATACAGTGGAAATGTTTTTGGGATTAAGTTAATTTACATGGCGAAGAGGGTCTTTGCAATTGATTGCAATTCATCTGATCACTCTTCATGACATTCTGGAGTATATGCAAATTGCCATCATAAAAACTGAGGCAGCAGACTTTGTGAAAATCAATATTTGCTTTTCTCAAAACTTTTGGCCACGGCTGTAGAGCCTGAAATCCACAGACAGATAGATAGTTAGGAATAATTAAAAGCATGTTTATCCTTCATGTTCAACTGGTAAAGTTTGATATAGGATTTAGGATGTAATTAGTAATAAGTAATGCAATATCTTATTAGAGAGAGTAGCCTAATCTAATTACACTGTTGAAGATTTAATTAGAAGGTAAAAAAAAAAAAGGTAATAGTGGAAAAATAATGCAGTGACGAGCCAGCAAAGTAGTTTCACTTTGTATATTTATTGTAGATCATGTGTTAAGCCTATCATCTGAGTTTTTACTTTAGAGAGAAATCTGTTAAAGATGTCAAATAGCACTCTCTTCACTCCTGCAATTTAATCGTCCTTATAACCATAGTTACTGTAAAACTAAATGTCATTTTGGTTTATGTTTGACAACCATAGTTTTATGATGGTAATTACCATTATAGTACATTTTATGCATGAAATAATCGTTTAAAATTATTTCATGTAATGAGCATTAAAATAAAGCATATATTACCGGTTTTCTATTAATAATAGTTTGTCATTTCTTGCATCTCAGCTTGTAGAAACAGAGATTTAGAACCTAAATGTATGTATTTACACAACATATAACAGCTACCAGGAACAAATCTGAAGTAGCCAATATCTGTGAGCTGGAACGTTGTGGCATGTGTTTTAAGTTGAAATATGTAGAAAAAGCACCGATCATAACAATAAGCAGCGGTTTCATTCTAAAAGAGCCCTAAACCGGTTTAGATGATTAACTTTTTTTTGCCACTACTGAAATGTTAATTTCCTTCTAGCTACAGTGTCTAAAGAAACATGACGGGATAATATAAATAATAAATATAAAAGTCTCTTATAGTGATTGTCAGTGTATTTTGTTGACATTGTGATTTACTTTGTTTCAATTTGTTATTTGTTTTTCTATCTAATATTTATATTTTAGTTCAGTAAACAAAATAACAAATTTAAATAATTGGAGTTAATAAACACTGGAAATAGTGAATGAGTGTATTGTATTTTAAAGTAGATTTGTGTGTTGTTTGACTCAGCCACTCTCTATTAAAATAAATAAATAAGACTAGAACTAGGCCTATTAAAACCAAAATACATTCTAAAAATAAATATTTTTAAGAAAAAAAAAACGACAGTTTTCCAAAATATAAATGCTTTTGTAGTATAGAATACTAAAATAACAATGCATCTGGAAACACTTCTCAAATTAAACTCTTCGCTAAAACTTCCCCCAAACTACTCAACAATGAAAACATTTTAGAAGTTTGGTAGATTTAATTCATATATAATGTGACCTGTTGTTATTATTACTAGGCTATTAAATAAAAATTCAGATTTATCAACATGATTCAGGCATATTAAATATGTAAGCATTCCAGGATATCACACACTCCATGAGATACTGCATAAACCAACAAACATATGTGGATACCAGCATAACTCTCCAATGAAACTTGTTGTTCTACACTCAACTAACGACAAACAGCTTGTATATGAATAGCAAACCCATCCTAACCATGGACGCAGAGCTATATCAAAACTACATTCCCACAACCTTGAGGGAAACGTAAACGCGGACATTAAGAGCGCAATTTGCGGGCCTAAGAAAACAGGAAGGAAAGCCTTAAATCTTGAGGGCGTCTTCCAGCTGTCAGGGGGCTCGGTGTGTCGTAACGGGATGAACGAGGACAGGGATAGACGTAAATGAGCCAGCACCGAGAGCCTGGCGCGGCGCCAGACTGAACTCGCCGACTCTCCTCGAGCTCCCCTAAAATTGAGGCTAACGTAGCGGCGTGAAGCCAAACTAAGTACTGTGAAGCCAGCTGAGGATTTCACACATGACATTTCCCTGAGTATACATCCAAATGCGTCTTCCACTCAGGGTTTAGGATTTGTTACGGGTGTTTATAAAGCGCGAGGGGCTTGAGTACCAAATAAGGCACAAAAAGCCACTGGGGTAAGTAGAGTACAGGTTATGATATTTAGGAACAGATATAGAGTCCTATTTACCCAGATAAACAGTCCCACTGGAAGTAAATAAGGGAAGTAGGACAGCTCGATTAAAAGCGAAACCTGTGGTGCCATCTAGCGCTCATTGATTGAACCGAGACGTCTTTGCATTACATAGCCAAAGTAAAGGCTGCTGTTTGCCTGCTCAGAATTCTGCTTAAAATCTGGACTAAATTAAGGCATCTTTACAGTTGATTTAAGGCTGCCCTGTGCACGCTCAATTGAGTGTAAAGATACAATGGCACATAAAAGCCAGACTAAATTATGCCTTCTCAAACCCACCTCAGCCCTTAGTATCACAGTATGCAATTATGTAAATGCATGTATACCACCTCTAAGCAGCATTAAACCGTTTGTGTGAAGACACTTAAATTCTACTTCAGCAGCACTTCTATGTCACCTTTGCCGTTTAAATTTGGCAATTGATTGAACAGAGGCTTCTTAACACAGCCAAGGCTACTCTATGCCTCTTTAAAATGCAGTGTAAAGACGCAATGCCACATCAAAGCCAGACTAAAATATGCCAGCTCAGACCCACTTCAGCCTCTAATATGAAAGTGTGCAAATGCATTCACGTCACATATGGGCAACACTGAACAATCTGTGTAAATGCCACTTCAGAATTGCATCTGTGCTGCTTTTGTAGTATTGCTTGGCACACAAGGAAGGCTGCTCTGTGCCTGCTCAAAATTCTGTTTAAAGACACAATGTCGCATAAAAGCCAGACTAAATTATGCCTGCTCTGACCCACCTCAGCCCCTAGCATCAAACTACTGTATAAAGGTGCAGTTGCCATGTAAATGCATTTATGCCACCTTTGAGCTGCATTAAACGGTCTGTGTAAAGACACCTAAATGCCACTGCAGAAGCGCTTTTGTACCACCTTCGCAGTGTAAATTTGCACAAGGCTGCTTCTGTGCCTGCTCAAAATTCTGTTTAAAGATACAATGCTGCATAAAAGCCAAACTAAATTATTCCTGCTCTGACCCACCTTAGCCCCTAGCATCAAACTACTGTATTAAGGTGCAATTGCGGTGTAAACGCATTCATGCCACCTTTGAGCTGCATTAAACGGTCTGTGTAAAGACACCTAAATGCCTCTTCAGAAGCGCTTCTGTGCCACTTTTGCAGCGTAAATTCTGTGCTGGTGATGTATTAGTTAACAGCAAAAAGAGCAAATGAGGTAAACCAACATTATTAGGACACACAAAAACAAAACATTAGAATAAAACGCAAGTTTTTCCAAGAATTTTATTGAAATACCAAGATAAATTTCAGTCCCAGTCCCTTATTTCAAAAAGCTCGCTTTGGGTTTTAGCATTGACATCAAGCCTTCGTCCCAAAGCTCCTCCCACTCCCTTTATTTTTCCTCTTTTTTTTTTTTTTTTGCTAAAACAGCAACATATTTCATCCGATCCAAACCTATACAACAGGTCATTTGGCACATCCCCCCCCCCAAGGTTGTCTCAATTTTTTTTCAAAGTATCCAAGCATTTTCAAATCCAAACAAACGTCATTCGTATTCGTCGTTGAATTTGTGCATTTTCAGACCGTTTCTGCAGGGAACACAAAAAGACCAAAAAGCAGATCATGATCAGTTCTGAAAAAAAATAAATCATTGTGTTTTGTGGTAAATTTGTGATTGAGAATTATTCTCAGTTAATTCGTAAGGGTCAAATTCGACTTTATTTACATTTTTGCAATTGCAACACTGAACCAATGCTGGCCAGGTAAATTCGGGGCTATTTGATAAATATTTGTCTTCTGAATATTAAACAGCAGTGTAAATCCACTGTAAACACTGGCTTTAACCCTTTTTTGTGTCTTCAACAGTCAGAAAGCATGCATACACAGACAAGGCAAGTGACTCCTTGCAACAAAACCCAGGTAAGAGTAACAGCAAGAAGCTGAGCAAAGTGCTGAATTTTAATATTTAAACATAAGAGTTCAGATATCAGAAGCACAATTGATGCTTCAACAGGACCCGACAGATGAGCAACTTCTGGTCGAGCGTCCACAGGTAACGTGAGGAGCACGTCAGAGGTTTGTAATGGATCCTCCACGATGAGATGCCTTAATGGAATTTAACAGTCATCTCGTAACGAAAATACTGTCAGAAATGGTCAACCCCACCACAAATACTCAGTATTCAAGCAAACATTGAATTGCTAAAGGGTTCAGACAGTTAGCCAAGGTTGCGTTTCTACCATTTTCGCGTCTTCTTCACCAACCAGCCCCTCAAGGCTACGTTAAAGGGATACAATCGCTATTTTCTGGAAGAATACCAAGAAAGTTTGGCCGCAAATGTGATGTTATCATCACGCTCGTAACTAGCAATACTGGATTACCGGACGACAAACGGCTCACCTGAGGCACAATTTTACAAGATTTGCTGCGTTTTTTTTGTACAACCACACCTGATTCATTCATGGGTTGTGATAGTCATTTTTTCAGTTAAAAGCATAAAATATTGTAAAAATGTGCCAACACCGAAGTGCTCCCTCACGACTGGAATGGCAAGTTCATTCGTATGGAGCTCTACTATGGTAATACTGATACTGTCAAAGCCTCTAAACAGATGGTTATCTCCTTCCCATAGGCATCCGATTCATGTCCATTGCACGTGGTCTCTAGCGCATTGCACAAAATAAGGAGCCAAATAGTGCTATTTCAGACACACAAGCACTCTAAAAAAAATACAAAAAAAAAAAGGAAACGGGAGGGGGGGGGGGGGAGGTATACTGCATTAGGGATCTCTCAGAAATCCAAGGCAGCTTTTGCATAAAATACTGACCGATTAAAGAAAGACCAAAGGGACGGGACGAGATGTTTAGCACTCAAAAGGAGTGTGAAATCATAATCGGACTGATGTATCCCTATGGAAGACGAAAATAAATATAAAAGAAAATAAAATATAGGACCTTCCATTTTAGTACATACAGAAAAAAATATCCATTACATTTTTTTCTAAACCTTAAACTATGAGATTCTGGGAATGGGTGTTGGTTATCCCCGGTTCAGAAAAGATCTCCAAAGAACAGTTTTTCCTTTCACACTCGGAGACCATTGAGAAGGGAAGGAAGCTGGCAACCAATCCCATAATGCATTAGGCTACACAGGTTAGCATGGCTGAGTACGCCCATGTCCCGAGTCCCATAAAAAAACGAAATTCATGGGTCTGCATTGTCCTCACTAGAGCACTTGGCCCACTACGGGGGAAAAAAGAAATCAGTTTCGTGGCATTTTACATTAGAGCAACTTGTTTTTAGAGCAAGCCAAGAAAAACAAAAAAATAATCCAGAGATTCTCTCTCTCAAAAGAGACAGAAAAATTAAGGAGAAAGAAATTGAGAGATTGTTATTAGTGCCAGTTTTGCAGTTGTTGTTGATCATATTCTGCTATCAGTTTTTTTATATGTGCCAGTTTGTTGTGTAGGTATTCACAGCGGTTCTTCTCTTGGCTATAGTTTGGATTAGCCTGGGAGGAAAAAAAAAAAAAAAAAAAAAAAAAAAGTGGAAGAGACTGTCAAGCTTACCTTTTTGATTTTGCGATACTCTTCAAGTATCTGATTGTGGATTGTCTGTGAAAAGAACAAACAGATCGTTACAATGAAGTTCCTGCTTGAATACTGTAGTTTTAAATGTGTAATCAGATTGAATACAGGCAGAGTAGTCTGATATTTTTACATGAACTCTTCAAATTGTGTTCAGTCTCTTCTTACAGGTTTACGGAAAGCTTTAGGATAAATTTACATACATACATTACCTACATACATACCTACATTATATATATATATATATATATACACACATGTTATTTTACTTCTGCTGGCTTCAGTTAAGCCAGAATTTTTCCCCCAAGATGTCCATTGGTCCCAACGACCATAATAATAATAATGTATAATTCCCCTTTTTTATTTTTTTAAATGTTCCTTTCTATAATAGTCTGCTGCTTTTATACACTCAGAAAGTCTTCCAGTTTTGTGGAAACTCCCACAAACACCAGTCAGGTGGCTACACTGCATTTGACCACTGGATTTACAAAAATCATTTCAGGTTTAAGAGGTGTTTGAACATTGCTTCAACTACTGATGAAACATACATTTTTATTTTAATCATCACTCGGTAGGTTAGTTAACCATGTGTTTGAAAGACAAAAGCCTTCCAATGCTATAGTAAAACATTAAAATGCAAAAATTGCGTAATTTTACTTATTTACATGTAATGCAGGCATTCCAAAACGTTTTTTTGGGTCATATTTCACTTAATAGAATTACTTGTTAAATTGTAAAATATTTTAATAATGAAATTAACATTTGTAAAATAAACATTTGCTCATGGCTCATGATTATATATTATAATTATAAAATGACTTTTAATTTGACATTTTTGTGATTTCATTATTAGCTTTTCATTAAACTCACGAAACCCCTGCAGTCCCTATATGAACCCCAGTTTGGGAAACCTTTTCTTACTTTGTATTTTTACATCAATATGGTACAAGATTATCCTATTTAAATCAATGTGATAAATGATTTAGGCCAAAAGTAATCTAAAAGTAGTCCGATTACATTACCTAAAACGTGTAATGTAATGGATTTCGTTACGAACCACAAATTTTGTCATGTAATTTGGAATTAGTAACAGACTACAATTTCTCAGTAATCCACCCGCTCTGTGTATAATGCATACATTTCCTCCCGTGTTCCTCCCTCTTTAGTGGTTTTGTTAGACCATGTTGCTTATTTTTTTCTAGCCAGATCTGGCAACACCGTTTTACAGCTATAATATAAGTGGCAGCTGACCCGAAACTCTCCCACTGGCCCCACGCCAGAGGGCCATCCTTAATATCAAGCCCTATAAACGATTATGACTGTGTGTAGGAGAAATAAATGATCCTTATGACAATCTGCTCCGGTTATTTAACATTATTGCATCTAAACAGTCGGTTGATTGTGTTGTTTATTTCATTACGCTCCAAGACAAGATTGTTTTTCTTCTCTTACCTCTCGCATAGTAACGTGTTCTAATTCATCAAGATGAAAAAACAACACTAGAACTCTGGATGAGTCAACTACACGCTTTAATTTCTCATTTTCCGGAGGAAGACGCAACTACTGGGACCAGGCAGGGGCCGACAGCATATTAATAAAAAATAAGAAAGTTGTAATCATATGCGTGGATGGATGCACTGCATTTTCAGTGTGAAGATACCTTATACTTGTCTGTGCCTTGCTGGAGTTGTTTGAGCTCGGAGTCGAGTATAGTGAACTGTCGGGTGATGCTCTCTATCCGTGAGTGGAGGCCCCGGTACTCGCTGTACTCTGCGTTGAAGTCGTTTTTGTAACTCTGACGCTGCTCTTGCGAGTTTATCACGGTGTACTTTCTGTTGAGGAAACCAAGCGAAAAAAAACAAAACATCACCGTCATAAAAGTATAATGTTATTTTCTTTCAGTTATAAAACACACTTTCCAAACAAACCTGACGCAAAAGGTAAAAGCAATTTTTAATGTATAAAGAGATGCTTACAATAAATAGTCTGCTGTCTCCGACGAAGACGCAGGAATACTGGAGCTGTTGCACGTTCCGTTCAGACCTAAAAAGAAATAAGGTTAATTCAAGGACTGTTTTATCCTGCAGACTGAGGGACAAGGACAGTGCGCTGTGACGTCAGTCCAGAATTATACTGGAGAGAGAAAAAAAAAAGAAACTGCTAGAAACAAGCTGAAGAGGGGTTTCAAAACAACACATTTAAAAAATTTACTAATTGGTGGGTTGTTTTAACTAATCAACCACACTGGCTGACTAGGTCAGTTGCTAAATTAATAATCGACTGGTTGGTGGGCTGTCTAAATGACTATTCAACTTAATTATCTCAGAGTCTGTCAACAGTTGGACTACTAGTCAACTAGTTGAGGGGTTGTCCAAACATCTGAACTCATCGACCTCACTAGCAGTCTAGGTCAGCTGTTGAACTACTAATTGCCTGGTTGGTGAGCTGCCTAAATGACTTCATCTAATTGACCTCACAGACCAAGTGTGTCAACTGTTGGACTACTAGTCAAATAGTTGGAGGGTTGTCTGAATGCCTATTCAACGATTTGACCTCACTAACACAATAGGTTGGCTGTTGGACTTAATCAACTAGTCGATGGACTGACCTTACTAGTGTCATCAAAAGTACCGACTTCGGTACTGGTCGGAAATGTTAGCAGGAAATGGACGTTTTTAAAATTTCAGTCTTTACTAACAAACTATTCAATAACTATTCAACTAATTGACCTCAATAACCAACTCGTCTGTTGTTAGGGGCCATTCACACAATGTCTCTGTGTCTAAAACGTGTTTTAAAAAAAGTGCAACGCAGAATTCCTCTTCCGTCTTGTTGCCGTCAAATTAAACCATTGCCATGCTAACTTGCGACTGTAAACAAAACCTTGGACTTAATCAACTAGTCGATGGACTGACCTTACTAGTGTCATCAAAAGTACCGACTTCGGTACTGGTTGGAAATGTTAGCAGGAAATGGACGTTTTTAAAATTTCAGTCTTTACTAACTGAAACTATTCAATAACTATTCAACTAATTGACCTCAATAACCAACTCGTCTGTTGTTAGGGGCCATTCACACAATGTCTCTGTGTCTAAAACGTGTTTTAAAAAAAGTGCAACGCAGAATTCCTCTTCCGTCATGTTGCCGTCAAATTAAACCATTGCCATGCTAACTTGCGACTGTAAACAAAACCTCACAACGCTTACCCCATCTCTGGGGTCTTCTGATTGGTCCACTGTTTTGGAAATTACGTTGATGAGTGACGCTGCATGTAAAAGTTTAAATTCTTAACGTTACATGGCATCTTAAACGGTGCAAAAGACGCAAGCGCAATGGTCATACACGTCCATCTAGTGCATTTACATAGAAAACAATGGAAAAGTAGCACATTGGAATTGAAAAACTTGTTCTGTGAGAACGGCCCCTTGAAGTACTAATCAAACAGTTGATAGGTTGTCTGAACAGCTAATCAACTAACTGACCTTACTAACAGTCTAGTCTGGTTGTTGGACTACTAATCGGCTACTAGGTGTGGTGCACTGTCTGAACAACTATTCAATAACTTTATAACAATTTGACCTCACTAACCGACTTGTCTGTTGTTAGGGGCTGACCACACAGAATGCCTCTGTGTCTAAAAACACGAGACTTGGCACTCAAGCATGGTTTAAAAAAAATAAATAAAAAAAAATAATAAAAAAAAATATATAAGTGTAGCACAGAATTCCTCCTCTGCCATGTTTCTGTCATAAAATATTTGCTATGCCAACTTGTGACTGTAAACAAAAGCTCACAATGCTTGCCCCACCTCTGGGGTCTTCCGATTGGTTCATTCTTTTGGAACTGACATTGATGAGCGGCACTGCGTGTAAAAGTTTAAATTCTTTTAACTTGCCACGGCGTCTTAAAAACGCAATGGTCATACACATCCGTCTAGTGCAGGGGTGTCAGCCAACCCTGCTCTAACACACATACCATGTAGTTTTCAAATAAGCTTAAAGGACCTGATTAGCTGGATCAGGTGTGTTTAATAAGGGTTGGAGCTAAACTCTGCAGCCCTCCAGGAACTGCATTTGATACCCCTGGTCTAGTGCGTTTACATAGAACAATGGAAAAGTAGCACATTGGAATTGAAAAACGCGTTCTGTGTGAACAGCCCCTTAGAGTACTAATCAAACAGTTGATAGGTTGTCTGAACGACGACTATTCAACTAACTGACCTTACCAACAGACTAGTCTGGTTGTTGGACTACTAATCGCCTAATTGGTGTGATGGGCTCTCTTAACCATTCAAGTATTAGTCCAACAACCAACCTAGTCATGAACGAGGATAAATCAACTAGTTAATGGGTTGTCTGTACAATTATTCAGCTAACTAACCAACTGCCAGTTTTTGGACTACTAATGGACTTATTGGTGGGGTGGGCTGTCGGAACTGCTATACAAGATATTGTCCTCACTAACCACTAGGTTGGTTGTTGGACTATTCAACTAGTTGTCTGCACCATTACCAGCTAATGACTTCCCTAACTTAGTGTGGGTTGTTGGACTAAATATCTGATTGGAGGGCTGCTTGAATTACTATAACTAAACCTCATTTAGCAACTAAATTGGTTATTTACTTTAAAGACTAGTTTGTATGTTTACTAAGCAACAGACACACACTACTTGAGATCAGAAACATAAAAACACATTTCCATCGCATATCTAATCAAGACTAGATTTCAAGTGGGACAAAAGTTTGTCCGTTCACTGCCGAGGTACTTTCTGACCCCATAACCCTTGACATCATAAATGATTCAGAGAAACCGATCCGCACCTGGGCTCCTATCGCTCGTCGTGATGTCACAGGGTTTCCTCTGATCCAAGCCATGGTCTTCAACTCTCCTCTCTTTCTTCATGTCCCGCTCTCGGTCCCTATCCTTCTCCTTGGACTTGTCTTTGTCCTTGTGTTTTTTGGACTTCTTCTTAGACTTGCCATGCAGGGAGGGTTGAGCGCTCTGGGTCTGAGACCAGTCCAGGCTGCTGTGGGCCGGGGACGTGGAGCTCAGCCCTTCCTCTAGCATTGTGGAGCGAGGGGCGAACGACGGGGGCTGGCTCAGTCTCTCCGCCACCGCCGCCTCCTGACTTTCACAGTCTCGGCCGTTGGAGTCGTTGCTGACGTCCGAAAGGGGTTCGAAGGGTCGGGGGATCTCCAACGGAGGGAAGTGGGAGCTCGACGACGTCTCTGCTGATTGAGAACTAGAAGAGTCTCTCCCATTGGACGAGCTCAATTTGCCGTTAATGAGCCCCATAGACTTGCTGGCTAGATGCGATATTCTGGGTTTCTTATTGGCCAGGGGATCGATGAACTCTGCAGGTCGTTTCTGTTGAATGCAAGCAATGATTGTTCGTCAAATCGGGACGGTTAAAACAGTCAAATATTAAATGGCGATTAAATTTCAGCATTTTAGAGGCATAGAAAATGAAATTGAACAAGTATCATTATATTTTGGTCAAAGATCATGTAAAACTTCAGAAGAACATGCACTAAAAGAATCATGCACGCTAAAATGATTTGATTTGTTAGCAAAGCAATGCTTGTGTTAGTACACAAGAGAGGGCTTAGTCACGTCCGCCAAAAAAACAAACAAAAAAAAACGGTTAGAAAAGTCAGGCTGAGCATTTTGAAGAAAGATTAAGAAATGTGGGGGCAGAAAAGGATGAACCCTTGAATATTTCCTAAATTTAAGCAGATCCATCATAACCGGTTTTGACAGGTCTAAAAGGGGGCAAAAGGCTGACCTGAGAGGGCGAGCTGCTGGCTGGCTCTTTGGGCGGGCTGACCGGACTCTCCCCAGACACAGGGCCACTGCTCTGAGGCTTACACAGTTTTCTGCAGGGAACAAAAGACAGACAATCATTTTTAAAAGAGCCAAGGAACTGCTTCAGTGAGATCCAAAAGACCTGACTAATCCAGAGAAGTGCTGTGGATTGTGCTGCAAAAGTAGGATCATTAATTGGTTTGAATGTGTAAGAGAAATATAAAATATCACAAATTGAGATATTTTTGATGAAATATCTTAAATATCTTTGAGCTTTCTGACCCGGCATAGACAGCAACGCAACTACCACGTTCAAGGCCCAGAAAGGTAGTAAGAACATTGTTAAAATAGCCCATGTGACATCGGTCGTTCAACCATAATGTTATGAAGCTACGAGAATACTTTGTGTGCAAAGAAAACAAAAATAATTCAATGATGATTCAATGATTTCTTCTTTTCCGGGTGCCACATGGACCATTTTAATGATGTCCTTACTAACTTTCTGGACTTGGGAGACATCGGTCGTTCAACCATAATGTTATGAAGCTACGAGAATATTTTGTGTGCAAAGAAAACAAAAATAATGACTTTATTCAATGATTTCTTCTTTTCCGGGTGCCACATGGACCATTTTAATGATGTCCTTACTAACTTTCTGGACATTTCAGTTGCGTTGCTGTTTATAGGAGGGTCACTAAGCTCTCGGATTTCATCAAAAATGTCTAAATTTGTGTTTTGAAGATGAATGAAGGTCTTACAGGTTTGGAACGACATGAAGACGAGTAATTAATGACAGAATTTTCATTTTTGGGTGACCTATCCCCTTTAACTTTAAGAAGGAAATTCTGACGGATAATAGACAATATTTGACATTCGTTAGTCCCATCTGAACTTGCCAAGAGCGTCTTTTTGAGAGTCTTATTTGATTACTAATAACGAGATGTTGGTTACACAAATATAGTCCATGACTTTTCAACATTTTTGACTAGTATTCATGAAGACCAAACCAGATGAAGCAGTTTAAGTAACTTTGGAAATTGCATTGCCCTAAATAAAGGGAAACCAAATAAACTGACCTTAATAAGATGGTAACTAACTGGTGTGCAATATACCAGTTAAAACAATTCACACCAAAATATGTCAAGCGCAAATACGTACAAATTTGTCAAGTGGTATACATTGTGTCGTTTGTCGCCGTTACGTGAACCACCACCACATGGTAGAGAATAGGCACTCCAATCACTTTAGGCAATTTAGTTTTCCATAGAAATGTGCATATTTTAATGTAAAATGCATTAAGTGCACTCAAAGGGATAGTTCAGCTAAAAATAAATGATCATTTACTCACCTTCAAGTTGTTCCAAACCCCGTTTCTTTCTTTCATCTGTTTAACACAAAGACAATATTTTGAAGATGTTGGTAACCAAATAGTTGCTGGTAGCCATTGACTTCTATAGTATGGGGATTTTTTTTTTACTATACTATAGAAGTCAATGGCTATCATCAACTGTTTAGTTACCAACATTCTTCAAAATGTTATCTTTTTTTACTTCAGCAGAAAAAAGAAACTCATACGGGTTTGGACCAACAAGGTGATGACAGAACATTTAATGCCATCAAACAAGTTTATAATGCTGCTTGAGGTTTGTATGTCAACAGGGGGCAGTATGACATGGGCCAATGCATCCCAATAGCAGGCCCATCGAGGGTAAACGAACAGAGGACTGTGCCTGAGAGTAGGAGGCATGAGTCGCTACAGTCGCCGTCGAACTGTGCGCCCATGCAGGGCCGGACCTTGGACCCAAGCCACCCACACACATGGATCAGCATGTGCTGGAACAAGGTTGCATCACTACCCTCCTGACTGCACACAGCTCTTACGTGAATGCCTGGTGTCCGCGACCAGATGGGAAAGTGGGTGGGTGGGTGGGTGCGGACATAAAAGGGCCCGTCATCTGATAAGCATCGCCACCGGGTTTCAAAGTGCAAGCGTGTGTTCCACCTGGGTGTTGGGTTTGTTTCTGGCAAATACTTCCATTTTGTTTTGAACGGATATCACAACACCATGTTCTCGCCAGTCTAACGCACAGCACAGCCTCTCTAAATTTAGCTTCCAGGGGCCAGTCTTCCACCGCCAGAGTTCATGGGAACCCAGACTTCTCCATGTAGAGCCAATGAAGAGCTCGGAGAACAAGGGTGAATGCAGCTGTACAACTACTACAGCAAATAAAGGTTCTTGGAAGTATTGTGACCAACTGGTGCACAATATACCAGAATCAAATTGTATACATTTTATGCAAAACACTACTGAATGGCAGAGAATGAATACTGAAAAAAAATCTACTCGGCTGTTTTCAACATCATAATAATAAATGTATATTATAATTATATGTATACAATTTATATATTTGCAATATATTTTTAAAATTATTAAAGATTTAAAAAAAATTATATTAAACCGTTTATAAATTACAAATTAAATTACTACATTTAAAACTAATTATAAATACCTAATTATTTCAAATATATAAATTATATGCTTGGAACAAAAACTTAATTTATTCATATTTAAGAATTTTGGATTTGGGCCAAATTCATTGGTTTTAAACTATACAAATATATAAATAACAGTCTTCTTTCACTACTGCTGAATGTGGCCCAAATCCATTTTTTTTTAAAAAGTCAAAATTATATTTATATAATTCATTTATTTGATTTCAAACAAATATAAATTTACACATTTTAAATAAAATTCTAATTTGATCAATTTTATTAAAAGTAACTCTTATATATAAATTGTCATGTTTAATAAAATTTTGTCCTGGATCCCTCCCAGGCAGTCCAGCTGTATGCTCCCTTCACTGGATAGAGACCAAGCCTGTTAGATACTCAAAACGCCACCGACTACACCACCTTCTCACCAGTTATCCACTTTCAAATGTGTCGCCATGGCTCATTTACAGCCCAGGTGGTCGGATGGGCGTCCTCTAAGAGAGCGATTTCTTACAGCCGGCTCATCCACCTTGAAACCCTGCCAACTGCCTCGGAGCTGTTTGCTCTAAGTCTGGAAATACTGGGAGTCAAAACATCTGATCACAGTCAAGGTACATAGTGTTTTCCCACCATGCCTGTGCAAAACAACTTTTCACGAAAAGGAAACCGAGATAACAGAACACGCATCCTGTTTGTTTGCTTAATTACAAAAACACAAATGTTCCCCTGACGCACACCTAGCGTTTGATTGTACTACTTTTGAATTCAAATGCAATTGTTTATTTTAAATTCGACTAAAATTTATTTTTTTATTCACAATCTCCTTATCACAGGCAGGCACAGCACTCATGTTCGTGTTTGTGTGTGCTGTCTGGTCACTCATAGCACGTGCCTATATCGAACATTCTATCGTTATAAAAGATGGTGTACCGTCGATAAATAGATACCATTTTATCGCCCAGGCCTAATTTAAAGTATAACAATATACTATAACAATAACAAACTTTGATATAAACATAACATTTAAGAACTACATAAATTATTATTATTATTATTATTATTATTATATAAGAGTGTCAGCTATCAATAAATGAAATAGAATTTACATTATACATCATTTCAATTAACAATACTAATAACAAATAACAATATTTTCTATAATTAATATATTAAAAGTTTATTACATTAAATTATTATTAGTATTAATTTATTGATCATTTAAATTATATATGTTAATTAACTATGTTAACAACAAATAACATTTTATATAATTTAAATAACTATGCAATATACCATAATTAAGTTAAAGTATAATTTATCACTGAATTTAAAATAAATTCATATATTCATACAAAAAAAAACAATTTAAATGAACTTATACAGGTAACATTTTATATCATTGAAACAAAAGTATATTGTTATTAGCATTATTCTTATTCTATTCTAAAAATGATCAGTTTTATCAATACAAAAAAATAAGACTTAGTCAAATAATAATAATAATAATAGAAATAAATACTTTAAAAAAATGTCAACTTCTTGACTATTATAGTTAAAAATTCAGTTGATCAATTACCAAATTCATCAGTTTTATCAATTAATCATACCAATTATTTAAATGAATTTCTTCATATTTTTTTTATTTTATTGAAAAATACACTACATTTACATTAAATACTTCATAAAAAAACGGCTGGTAATTTCAACCACCATTCCTGTGGGTGAGCTGGCATGAGAGACAGAGGTGCAGACGGAGCAAGTGGCCCTGACTGAGGTTAAGCGCTGGAGGATCCCCGCAGAGGCCCAGTGAACAGCAGCGGGACACACCGCCGAGCTCCAGCTCGGTTTACTCAAGGTTCCTCACACTTGTGTGGCCTGCAGGTGGCCGACTATAAATAACAGGCCGTGTCCGAGGCTCTCTCAGCTCAACGCTTCACTTCGCTTGCTCACCTCACGCAGCACTCTTCACACTCCGACACGAGAGAGACGGCGGCTCTGTTAGCTCTGCCACTTACAATCAGGATTTATATTAGCAGTTATGTTTTTTATTTTGTTGTGTTTTATTACAACGCCTTGGCTGAAACGTTGCAGCTTTAACAGCTTTAAGGAGACGGCTCCTAACTTCAGTTTTTAGATGTCTGCGCTGAGAGAGGGAAAAAACCCCAGCTCTCGAAGGAAGCGCTTGCGTCACAGGCCAAAAAAACATGACGCACTTCAAAGTGCGAAATCCAGCGTGATTAACAGTCAGCGCTAGTAACTTTTAGCGTGGAGTGGCCAAAACTACTGCCTCAATCCACCGGGGGAGCAAACTGTGATTTAAAACTTGAACTTAATTCCCAGGCTATTCTCACCCGTACAGATAAGTGGATCATTACATCTTGAATTAATGTAACAATTAACTGATAAATGGTCAATGTTAACATTTAAATAACAAATGTAATGCATATTTTATTCATTACAAATATATTAAATTGCAAATAATTTTGTCTAAAGTTAGTCATGACAATTAGTGAATAAAATGACAATTAGTCATTGTTACAAGTGACTTATGAAGTATGAAAAATGGATATTCATTTGCTAAAGATTAAATTTAACAGTATTATTCGTTTAAAGGTTTTTGTTTTGAAGTTGTTCGCCAAGGCTACATTTATTTGATACAAATTGCAGTAAAAACCGTAATA